AATTCACTCGACGTCCTGATCAAAATTTGACTTGTTAGTTCGACCTGCATATTCCTACGATATTTTGATCGACTAATCTACTGAGAAAACATTTTAGTAAGGCAAACTGCGCGTTTATTTCGCATTTGGTGAAATCGGAGGTTGCCCCACATAGAAAAAGTGAGTAAAAATGTTCGCTTTCCAGGTATCTGCATGGATAAGGGAGGAGACCTGTCGAGCGCCGGATCAATTGATGTATTGTCCCGATTTATTATCCAGCTGCTTCTTAATTCTGAAGATGGACTCCTGTAAGAGTTCGAAAATTCAGGAAACTGAGTCATTTGCTCAACACGTCATCTTACTTATTCATATAGAACAAATGCCTAATTCTATTTAGTACGATATAACCAAACCTTTTATATGAAGGCCTTATGCTACGGGAGAACCCCCATCACACGCAAGGAATTTTTGAAATAAATTCCTTTCATAACGAAAAATTGCTGTCTAATTTTAATGCAAATATTCAAGATTTGGGATTTTTTCCAAATTGCATTCAGAAAAGTGCGTGAATGAATGTAAAAGTAATCCTGATAAGTGTATAGCACGTGGAAAAATGCTTTTTTAACAACGTCTTTTCCGCTCATGCGCATTTAAGACAGATGGTGGGTTACCAGGCTTCACAATAAGTACTGTATATTTGGCCACCTTTTTCGATCGCGAGCTTAGAACAGGGCGTGATTATAAGCAAATATGCTGAAAAATACTCCAATGTAGACCACAAAGTGAGCTTTTGCCTTTTCGGTCAAATGCAATGCATGAAATATGTATTAAAGCATCATAGAAAAGAAGTATATTCTTTATACAAAGAGAATGGTATGGTTGTGATTCAACCAGGGGACTATATTTCAATTTATTGGTTTATTATATTGCAATTTTTTTTACGTGCGCAGCACTTGCGTTTTATTGAGAAAACAAACAATTAGAACTTTCGCATATGTTTTAAGCAGCAAATTAGCCCAACATTGTGCATCAATATTCAAACGTTTTCGTAGATTCGCTTATGCCAGTTTGCCAGTGATAATAATTAATACACAAAGTTTAACAATTTTGCATGAAATTTCGACCGCATTATTCGGCAGTTAGGTAGACATGTAAGCTTGCTGTTATAATAGGATGAGTCAGCCCTCATACATGTTTATATTAAGCATCTGCGTTTGTGAGTGCGACCATTGCTGTTTGAACTGGGGCCGCGGGACTGGGGATAGACAAACGGGCGTGCTACATTCAGATCTAACGTCGGACAGGGCGTTTTCACGTTGCTGTATTGTTATAAATTTGGTTCTTTTTGCAATAAAATGCCGCGCCATAAACAAAGGTG